AATAATAACAGTAATAGATATATTGTAATCAATACCTTACCTAATATGTTAATACTATTAATATATGCTCCCTTGTACTGAGAGACCTGTATCACTCTTCCATCTCCTATTTACCACCAGCTAACTATCTCCAGATACAAAAATCATGCCATAATATTGCTCTATTACAATGTGAGAATAGAAAACAAAGTTTAATATTATGTTTTCGGCTTACTCACGTAACGGTTTGACGAGGAACTCGACTAGTTTCAAGCCTTACTAGAGGCTCATATGCAGCATTCCGCCAACCGCGACGCGGAGACTGTCGATTTAGTATATCTCACGAAGGGTTTAATAAAAACAAACAAAGTTAAGTATGACTGAAATTTAAGCAAAAATGTTTTTATACATATACCTATTTCAATACGATAGCGTTTCGCCACCGTCTCTTCTGGTGGAAAGTACTAATGCTGTGACCCACGATAGAGTACGCCTATCCAAATATTATCGTATCTGTTTAACACTTTATAGCAATATCAGCATCTAGATTCATAGTAATTACATAGTAATTGTAGCACATAACATAAAATAACATCGCGCCTTTTATCCCCGAAGTGGTAGGCAGAGGTGCACATTACAGCACTTAATGCCACTGCACAATGTAACACCCATTTTTCACTATTTATGTTACGCGTCCCATGTAATAGGGGTTGAGCCTATTGCCATATACCGTGCACAATTCCAGACAACGTGCCATTTTTTTAAAAACCTAGTAATACTTTGCCCGACCCGGGAATCGAACCCGAGTCCCCTTTCCCGGCAGTCGCACTGGCAACCACTCGGCCACCCACCAGTCAGTAATTTGTACTAATGGACTGCCATTTTATTGAACTTGTAGCCTAATAAGATTTTAATCATATTCTGTTTCTGTTCCAAAAGTTCTTCAACAAATGGTATCAAGCATACCACTACTCAAGCGACGGCCAGCAGCAGAACAATTGCTCGGTGATACAGCTAGAGACCAGAGCAACTGGTATCTACTTGAACCAGTCCAGAGTGGACCGAGGCCTGTTCCATAGGTACAGTGTTGGAAAACTGGACATACCAATCGACATAACAGATAGTGCGAGACTGCATGTAACCTTCAGTTTTGAAGATGCACCTAGAAGATGTAAGTATTTTTTTTTATGATTTAAGTCGGTAAACTATCAAATGGATCACCTGATGGTAAGCAATCGGCGTCGCCCATGGACACCAGGAACACAAGAGGCGTTACACGTGCGTTACCGACCTTTTGGGGATTAGGAATTTTAGGATTTTGTGGATTCAGGGATTGGGGAGATTGAGGAAAGGGAGGGGGAGATTTGGGCCTCCAAAAACCTCACTCACACGACAAAACACAACACAAGCGTTTCTGTGAAGCCCTGGTATCACTCCGGTCAAGTCGCCAAAAACTGAATCAATAGGTACCGAAATAAAACTAGTCGTACGCAACTTTAACCACATTGTCCAAAAAATAAATAGCATATGTCTCTAGCCACTTAACTATCTCTAGATGTTCCTACAAATATTATAAAATAATGCGAAAATTTGTTGGTATGTTTTTCGTTCGTTACAAAATGGCTGAATGGATCAGGATGAAATTTGGTGTCGATAATGGTCTGGAATAACACATAGGCTACTTTTATCAAACGGAAAAGCGGACACAACCACGGGCAGAGACTAGTATTACAATAGCGTGAAACAAGATAAATAAATAATAATAATTATTGTGCCACGGAACGGATGGTATTTAATACTTTAACTGTAAATTCCCTTTTTCCAATCAAAATATTCTAAATTACCACCAAAAATACTGAATTTCACACTAAATTTGATCATCAAATAAATTAATTATACTATACTGTTAGATCTTTAAAGCTTAACTGTTTGACTGAATGACTATCTGTTTACTAAAAGTAAATCTAATAATTCTTCGAGTGCAACTAAATATATAAAAACTACAAAAAAACAACAAACCTAACCTAACATTGAACAATTAGTGTGCAAATCAGTATTTTTGTTTTACGGTTTATTTTTTTGATATGCAGTAGGTTATTAGTGGAGAAATTTAATTTGCTTAAATTTCTAAATAGGGGTGCAGTAAAAAATATATAACCCCTATAGAACTACCTATATTAAGTAAATATTACTTACCTAATTGTGTTTTGACGTGAATTTTTATTGTTTCAGTGATGCACAGAAAGTATCCTTTCTACGTGTTGGCTACAAACTACAATTACTATGCAACTGTGTACACTTGCGAGTACAGTCCTCTTATTGATAAACATTTCAGTAAGTATTAAATCTTTACTTCTCCTTTTTTTTAAAAGAATCATGATATAGCTTCTTGCGCGTTCTTCTCCATACGAATCTAACTTTTGAAAAGAACACCTTTTTAATGGGGGGAAATCCTCACGGACTGCCTCCGCTTGGGGAAAGGTGGAGGGGTGTGCCAGACTCTTACCGGCTAAAACCACCCCAGTGTCTCTTTGCACATGCGCGCGGGACCGCGGGAGTCCATATTCATCCGCAGTTGAAAAGAACACCTGACCTAACTGACAGATTAACTGTCTTGTCTATTTATTGACGTTTCAAAAATGCCTATACGTGGTCTTATTCAAATATATACTTCTGAATGTGAGTATTATATGTAGAACAACTATCTACAATTCGAAATATTTACTGAAGATTGCAACTTGAGTCTTGGTTAGACTGGTTGTAAGATTTTTGACGTTTCTGACCAACTACATGACTCTTTTATATGGTTTGTATAAATAATTACTACTATTATTGCACTAATTATGTCAAAGACTTAATTATATACTTTTTTTCAGTATACGTATGGATATTATCAAGAAATGAATTATTGAACGACGTTTCCAAAGAGCTGGCTGTGAGATCACTGAACCGCATTGGTCTGGATGCCAACAAGTTGGTCAAAGACGATTGGTCCAAATGTTCTCCCAAATATTATGAAGATCGCCAAGCTGAGCCAATGACATTTAGGTATCCTGTACTTATACGCTAAAAATGTTCAAAATAAAGTGACTTTGACCTTTCTTACCATACATTTTTTTGTTATTGTAACTGCTTACTGACTGCTAATAAATACGTAATGACCAAAATTCACTTCTAATACCGAAATTATAGGCCTTATCCCTTAAGGCCGAAATCAGTAACTTTTAAAATATCCTGTCACATGACAAGGTATTGTAAAAATAACTGATTGCTGCGTTATGCGGAGCCGCGAAGGCCTTATTGGATTATAGGGGCTCCGGCTCAAAAAGCTGGAGTAGGAACGGGGTGGTTTTTAGTCAGTCCACTTGCCTCACCCAAGGTGAGAAAAGTCGTTGAATGATTTTCCCCCTCTCAAAAAAAGGTTGACAACAATTCAACTTTGCCGTCACCACTAAGCCTCATAATCACAATCGAAAAAAAAATTGACGTAAATTAATTAAGTCGTTCAGTTATTGATATCAAGTAGTTCCTGTTAAAAGAAATCTGATAAGTATTTATCAATAACAGAACATTTTGAACACATTTTTTGAAATTGTTACAGTCGGTAACTGATTAAGTAGGTAATCTATTAAAATCTAAAATGTACTTAATTTAAGTAGCTATCTGATTGAGTTAACAGAAGTCTTTTAATATAAAAGTAATTTTATTTATGACTCTCTCTCTCAGCTCTTGTATTTCATGCATTTTTTGAAATTGTTAAAGTCGGTAACTAAGGAATCGTCGGTTAATCTAAAGAGGTATAAAAGACCATTTATTCAAGTGGCGGTTTATGTACGTCGAATGAAGTTATGTAAGTATGTATGTCTGTTCATTCTCGATGTTAATATAAAAGTAGATACCTAATACTAGATATTTGTGAAATCTACAGCCTATAAGTGCCCACTCCTGAACAAAGCCTCTTCTTACTCGGAAATGGTTTGAGCATTCTCCATGCTTGCTCATTGCGAGTTAGCGATTTCAAACTTATAATTAGAAATTATAAGTCTGGACTTACAATGGGTTTCCTCACGATGTTTTCCTTCACCGTTGCCAACAATCTTAGAAAGTACATAAAACTCGAAAAGTCACATTGATACTTGCTGGTAGGTTTCAAATCCGCACCCTTATGCATTTAAGTGAGCGTCTTGACCTCCGGGCCACCACAACACACACAATCGACATTTGTGAACTTTCCAATTTGTTATTAATTTATCTCGAGTAGTTCTTGATCTTAAGAAAAACTTTAATAAATTTATACAACACCGAAACTAGAATAACCTTCCAATAAATGCATTAGGAATACCTACTACCTCTTTATGCAGGATTTTCTTAACAGAAATAAACATGATTACAGTCTTAATATTTAATTCTGCCTATCCTCATTAAAATAAATCGGTTGAATGTGCGCCGTCCAATGTGAATTGCATCTTGAAGCACTATGGTTGACTTTCTCCATGTATATCTGGCTCACAGAAGGTACGGAGTTCACATCTCTGTATGCTATGGTTAAGTATTCTTCAGGTAGGCTGGATTGCCGCGATAGAATCCAGGCTGAAACTGAAAATGAAAATGAAGTAAAGAGTAACACAATTGTACAAAAACTGTTGACTACGTAGAGCGTGTCATGATTGAACATTGAACATTCATAATTATAGAGAGCTGCTGGTCTGTATTTTATTAAACATATTAATTACTTCGAAATATTTTCATGTTCGCTTTTCATGTATGGACAAACAAACAAATGCATTTGATAAACATCAAATCACACAATCAATCGGTTTGATAAGATCTGAAAAACGATTTTCACATTATATTCTGAAAGAAAATGACTGCCTCATTACTCGAGTAGTCGCAAGTGCAACTGCCGGGCAAGGGGTCTCGGGTTCGATTCCCGAGTCGGGCGAAGTATTACTAGGTTTTTTTATTCATTCTCAGTAGTAGCACGAAGTCTGGAATTGTGCCTAGATATGGCAATAGGCTCACCCCCTATTACGTGGGACTGATGACATAAATAGTGAAAAAAGTGGGTGTTACATAATACCTCTACAGTGGCATTAAGTGCCGTAATGTGCCCTTCGGGGATGGATGGGAAAGTTATGTTATTCTGAAAGAATAGGACAATAAAAATACGATAATCAACAGATTTATACTTTTTTTTATGGCATAAGCCGGTAAACGAGCAGACGGATCACCTGATGGTAAGCAATCAGCGTCATGGACGTCTGGAACACCAAAGGCGTTACAAGTGCGTTACCGGCCTTTTGGGGCTTAGGAGTTTGAGGATTGATCGTTGGGGATTCAGGAATTGGGGAGATTGGGGAAGGGGAGGGTAATTGGGACTCCGGTAACCTCACTCACACAACGACACACAACGCAAGCGTTGTTTCACGTTGGTTTTCTGTGAGGCTGTGGTATCACTCCGGTTGAGCCGGCCCATTTGTGCCGAAGCATGGCTCTTCCACACTTAAGACTTACTTATATATGTCAATGTATTTTGTTACTAAACACGGATGGCTCATAATATTATCATAAATATAGTTGCCTGTTTGTTTTTGGTCTGATGTCAATGTAACAGTATGGGTAGGTGTAATACAAGGAAATGACTGCGTGTTTGATAAAATAGATTATGTATAATACTCACTGTACTTGAGTCCAAGTGATTCGTTGTTTTTGCACCCGTAAACAACTGCATAATTCTTGTAATCAGTCGATATCACTGAAAATGGTATCCCGATTGGATCTGTAATGATAAAAGTTTTAGGTGAATGTTTTTATGTAGGACAACCATTTTTCAGCACAAGTAGGTATCCGTTCGAGTGGTACCTTTAAAAATACTGGTGTGAAATAATACATGTTTTGTGTTTCACTGTGTTATCATAAATAAAGTCTTTGAATCCCCTAAAAGATTAGCAACGCGCTTGTAAAACCTCTGATATTGCGGTGTCCATAAGCGATACTTCTATTTCCGGACCCATCTCACCAAAAATTGTTGCCCAATGAAATATTAGTGCTTTTTAATACGAGAATTTTTTACTTTTTTAATATGAGATGAATGAGGCTTTCTTGAAATAATTTCAGATTATCAGCAAAACTCCAAAGCAATGCATGTTGTAGGGGCATAAATCGGTACATTTAAAGCTACCATCAATTCTATTGATATGAGACTTCAAACAAGAAATTATCAAAATTGATAAACAGTAATCAATTAGGTAATCGAAGGAGTGAAGATTACTGGCTCTGATTAATATGCACATTATTTGATAAGTTATCCAACAATAAATCTCGGTCGGTATAGGTAAGTGGCTACTTATTAGTTTAGTCTCATTTCTGGTTTTAATTTTTTTCATATAATAAGCCGGTAAACGTGTAGATGGATTACCTGATGGTAAGCAATCGGCGTCGCCTATGGAAACGTGGAACACTAGAGGCGATTCAGGCGTGTTACCGGCCTTTTGGAGATCAGTAATTTGAGGATTGGTGGGGTTTCGGGGATTGGGTAGATTATCGTAATTGGGCCTCCGGTATCCTCACTCATACGACGAAACACAACGCCAACGGTTTTTAACTCGTCGAGTACCGGTTTTGTAGACACAATTATAGAACAATAGGTTGCGGTCACCGGTGACCGCTTGGTGTTTGACAGTTTAAGTCGGTTTTTTGTGAGGCCGTGGTATCACTTCGGTTGAATCGGCCCATTTGTGCCGAAGTTTGGCTTCCCCACACTTGCGAAATAAGTCAATGGCGGAGGCCTATGTTCAGCAGTGAGTTTTGTTGCTGGTGTGATGACGATGATTAAGTATCCTTACGATAAAGCTGATTTAAATTAAGGTTAAGCAACAGAGATACCTCTGATCGGAATAGACGAAATACCAAAATATTGATTCAAGTATGATTAAATTTATGCATCGAAAGAAACAAATAGTGGTTATCAAAAGAATGGTGATTCAACTGATTTGATAAAGATAGTACGGAAAGGAATTTGGTCGCTCAAAATGCGTCATAATTATGCATTTGTATATCTACTATGACTCAAGTAGCAGAGTTATTAGATTTTGCAGGCTTTCTTTTAATTATTTCTTTCAAATTAAGGAATTCAATTGCAATATATTTGAAGACAAAAATAGAAGATTAGTGATAAAAGCAGCGATAAAAATGTAAACACAATACAAATTACCGGATTAAAATAATTTGGCTTAGTGGTAGCTATCTAATCATTTAAAAGTGAGTCGCACATGTGGGTAATTCCATTGTATTATCTATTAGCATTTCCTTTATAGATTTAACTACATCGAAGGGTTATTGGTACCTCTTGGTCATAAAAGCATTTTCGAAAGGGACAAGTTCGCTACAACCTCCCAAAACTGCGGCAACTACTGTAAGCCAGGATCTACAGTAGATTTGTATGTACTGTAGATCCTGGTTTTCTTGGCTTGGTGGCTGGCTTAATTGGCTGGCTTGGTGTTCTCATGGACAACCATGAGAACACCGTAACACTGAAGTCCGGCGCGTCCCAGGGACATGAATAACTGTCTGGGTTCCCACGATGAAGTGAATCAGAAAATATTGTAAGAGGAGTAGAAAAAAACCGATAGTCTAAGTCTAAGTGTGGAAGAGCCATGCTTCGGCACGAATGGGCTGTCTCGACCGGAGTGATACCACAGCCTCACAGAAAACTGACGTGAACCAACGCTTGCGTTGTGTTTTGTCGTGTGAGTGAGGTTAGCGGAGGCCCAATTACCCTCCCCTTCCCCAATGTCCCCAATCCCTGAATCCCCAACGATCCTCAAACTTCTAATCCCCAAAAAGCCGGTAACGCTCTTGTAACGCTTTTGGTGTTCCAGGTGTCCATGGGCGACGCCGATTGCTTACCATCAGGTTATCCATCTGATCGTTTACCGGCGTATGCCATATATAAAAAAAAGTCTCCACTTCCCTCGGTGAATTACTGCAGGAGACAGAATGAATTAAGCTTAAAGGCACAAAAAAGAGACTGTACAACTGTGTGAAGCCCAGTCGCCAAGCACCATGGAAGTTTGACTTATAACTAAGTGGGAACTGTTATACTGACTTCGAATAATAGGTATTGCAAAAGCGCCTAAACGCACGGAAATTAGTTTTAGATTCCACAAGGTCCGTATAATAAGCTACACCTGACGAAACAATTAAATTATTTAACATAGTGGTACGTTCATATTGCCAGAAATCACACTCATAAAAGCATATTTAATGAAACGTCACATTAAATCTAATTCCTTCTCAATACAGACTGAATAGAATTGAAACATTTATTTGCACTGAATGTAGGTACATAATATAAGATAACATAACATAACATCACGCCTTTTATCCCAGAAGGGGTAGGCAAAGGTGTACATTATGCCATTGTACAATGTAACACCCACTTTTCACTATTTATGTTATGATTCCCATGTAATAGGGGGTTAGTCTATTGCCATATACCGGGCACAATTCCAGACTCCGTGCTATTACTGAGAATTTTTAAAAAACCCAATAATAATTTGCTCGACCCGGGAATCGAACCCGAGACCCCTTGCCCGGGAGTCGCCCTTGCGACCACTCGGCCAACGAGGCAGTATTAATATAAGATCTTATAAAGATATATCGTTCCCGGTACATTCTACCATCTGATATGCAATTTTTTTTTTAATCCTTAAAGCTATGAACATAATCACTACATAGTATAAAAGAAAGTCGCTATCCGCCGTCTGTCTGTCACTATATATCCTTAGAACTTCAGAACTACGCAACGTATTTTGATGCGGTTTTCTTTAATAGATAGAGTGATTCTTAAGGAAGGTTGATATATATACATGCATATTGCACCCGTGCGAAGCCGGGGCGGGTCGCCAGTTGACTATAATACTTGTTAATTTATCTATTAAACTAATATAATTATTTTTGGATTCTATAAATCTAATAATATTTATATCTGAAAAACTTACTAGTGTATCGCTACCCTCAATTCATTTTAAATTATGTTATATATCGAGATCGAGCATCGAGTAGACATGTCAACCTCCATTAGACGATGAGCATTAGTCCTGCATGACTTAATTTAGTATCGACAAATACTAGCAACTATTGCCTTAATTTTTTTTTTTTTTCGGATCACCTGATGGTAAGCAATCGGCGTCGCCCATGGACACCTGGAACACTTTTTTTTTTTTTTTTTTT